GAAGGATGGTCGAGCCTTGAAGGATGGTCAAGCCTTGAAGGATGGTCAAGCCTTGAAGGATGGTCGAGCCTTGAAGGATGGTCAAGCCTTGAAGGATGGTCAAGCCTTGAAGGATGGTCGAGCCTTGAAGGATGGTCAAGCCTTGAAGGATGGTCATCACTTTCAGGTCAGCTCCGCAATGGATGGTCAGCACACCCAAACGGAATAGAACGAACGGGCCTTCCCATAAACGGTCATAATGAATGACGATAATTAATATCATCAATAATATATGTGATGACTAGTCAGGACTGCTACAGTCAATCCCAACACAACGCCCGCGACGATATCTTCCTCTCTGAGTTCCACTTCTACTTTTGCTGCATGGTCTTGTTCCACTCTCTGCTTTGCGGCGAGTCTATTTTCAGGATGCCAACTGGGCTTTTGCCACACTTCTTAATTACTCTCATCATCCAGCACCTACATAGTACTTAGTAGAACATCCTCATACTCCGGTGGAGATACAGCAAGCGCAGCTTTTGGTCCCTCAGCAGTAGCTTGTAGATAACCTTCTTCATCACCCCCTCTGAGAACAAAACATCCTCGGGGGCCCTTGTCTTGCCAACCACCTGCATGTCATTTCGCCTCCCATCCGCAGAAGCGCAGAATGGAAATCCGATTCTTTTCTTCCACCCCGCAGTTGCGCATCGTTCCGCCTTGCCGTGCAAGAGCCCCCCCCCAGCAGTTTTGGAGGCTTGGTGCACTGCTCCCGGTCCTCTGGTGCTTTCGAACGGCCGGAAGTCCGGAAGTCATCTCTGCCGAGTCGCACCAGGCGCCAGCAATAACGCAGAAACGTTGCACAGTTGGAAGGTCTAGGAAAACGATAACTTCCAATTCTCTGGGCTGCCATTGAGACATGACTATATAGTTATGGAGGGGCCGAAACGGCGAAGCCCGCCACTTGCGAATGGATTAAACTCTCATTCCAGTATGTCACCTGCTTTTCACGGATCGCTTCAGTTCTTTACAGGCTTTCGCCCTTGGTTGTGTGGCTCAAACAAAGCCTCTGACACTAACAAGTACCGCCCAAACTGAGGACTCTTGGACTCAATCTTCTTCCAGGACATTCTTCTGCCCCAACGCTGCGCGTATACGCGGCAAAATCCTGTTTGGGAGGACCGGCATCGCAGCTTCCAGCACCCAATCTAAGGGAAGCATCGCAGCTTCGAAACTAATGCACCTCTGCCAAACATGTCAGGGCTGCTGATTCAGGGCTGCTTTCTCCAATCCGGCTCCAAGACCGGGAACAAATGCCAAATGCTGTCCAAGATGGTATTCTGAATGGGGATTCATCCGGGGAAAAGCATGACAAAACAGGATTGCTACCCCTGTCTGGCGGTAGGTTTTGAAGGGAAGCACATTGAGTATGAACAAGCAACCCTATTGCGTGGTCGCCATGGCTAAACTAGGCCGTACCTAGATGGGCAACAAATACTGCAGCAGGCCTCAGTTGGATCACATAAAATACTGTAAAACTATGCTTTGAGTCATGCCAGCTTGGCAAAGTATGATGCTCAAAACCCGTTTAAGTACTTTCAGTAAGGTTTGGTACCAAGAATCCCGTGAAAATACATCCCATGTTTTTTTTTCCAGAGTGTGTTGGCTTTTGTGCCATCCGTACATATGGGGTCACAAGCCCATCCCCCCCACCAAAACATCCTGAATCTCCAGGGGGGTCTACTGTTCAACAACGGGGCCCCCAGTCGCGCTGGCGGACTGGGGATGTTGGGGGTGGCCCAACACCAAACCCAGGGGTGGTGCCTCTGCACTTGAGGCCAAGAATGATTTGTGATCCATATATATATATATATACATTCCCCAGGGCTCCAGTCGTACCTCCTCAGGTTCGGTATGACTGGACCCTTCTGGCACCCGGGCCCATTCCTTCCTTCGAAACGAAGGTACGACTGGAGCCCTATAGGGATTGGACCACACGTGCGCACTCGGACGCCCACGAAGTGAACATGGGACCGTTCGTCGAGCGATCTGCGAGGGGCGTTCCAGGACCCATGTGAGTGAGTGAGTCTAGGTGTCTGTATTTGGCCTTATGGTATCAAGGCCTTGCCCATCCAAGCAAGCCTTGAGCCCCAGCTCACTTGGAGCATCTGTGTTGGGGCACATGGCTGAAACTCAAGCACATGGCAAACAGGGTGCCGATCTACGAATCTGCAGGCATTGCCAGGCAAGATGGTGTCAGACTGATTAGAGTGGGGTGTCCCCTTTCTCCCCCCCAAAATGAGGCTAAAGAATGCCGCAATTCACTGACCGGTTAGGTGATGACCCTAGGCCCAGAAAAGGACGTACATCACTCCAACATCTTCATCTTCACTGGCTGTGCCCAGGCTCCAGATGCCCAGGCTTCAGGCAGCAGGTGTCAGGTCCTGGGTGGACACACCTGCGCAAGAAGAGGTCCAACATGTTCTCACTCCGGACACTTCACCACACCAGGTGTGACCGCCGGTTTGACCGCCGGGTTTCACGCCAAATTGCCGGTTTGAGGCCACCGAAAGAACCATCATAGCCAAATCACCGAAAACGACTCAGGCCGATTCTGTATCTATATAGATCTTCCATGATCTTCCAACTATGCAACATGTCAGCCTTTTAATGTCTTCTTTTCCAGCCAAGTTCGGCAGAACCTGGTATACCTGGTGTTCCCTCTCCCATCGAAAAAGCCATGGTTCCCAAACCTCAGACCTGGACTGAGTGGAAGATCACCTGCGCGTGTCATTGGCCTTCACGGGGCGGATATAGGGATCCTGGAGCGCCTCGTGCACCTCGTCTTCGCGCACGCTCGCACGGACCAAACAATCCGTGGCGGAGTGTTCCGTGCCGGGCTCCTCTGGGTTTTCAGCTGCGGGATCCGAACCGCCGAAAACGCACCCGATTCATTCATGGTGTGCCCTGTCAAGCCCCCAAAAATGAGTGACCTGTGACCTGTCCCTTGTCTTGGACATGTGGGGCGCTGCTGGTCGGACGTGCGGTCGTGCCGAAACGAGGTCCGTTGGAGATGTCCATGGTCAAAGGACATGGCCCATTCAAGACCGGTTCCGATTCCAGGTCTGAGAGGACCACAATGGACCACAAGCACAGAAAGTTTCATACAACCCATCACTCAAACACAGTCGAAAGAAAGTAGGCCTTCTAGTAGCTCCTGGCCTCTATGCTTTGGAGGCAATGGTCATGCCTGCCTGAACAATATATATAATTAAGCAGAACATGACAGGGAAAAAGAACATGTCATGTCTAGCTGCTAGGGTCTTCAGGTATGTCCGTCAAGTCAAGTCCTTCAAAGATCTTCAAACAATGTACAGTTCAAAGAACTCTCAGGGTCTTCAGGCATTAGTCAAGTCAAGTCAAGTCCTTCAAAGATCTCCAAACAATGTCGTACAGTTCTAAAAACTCTCAGGGTCTTCAGGTATTAGTCAAGTCAAATCAAGTCCTTCAAAGATCTGCCCAAAATATACAGTTCTAACAAAAAACGTCAAGAACCAGCTTCTTCAGTTCGTGACCTCTTTGGAGTGCCAGCCAGTTACCTGTTACAGGCCCTTTCGTGACCTCAAACTGCTCAAACAGTGATATCAAAAGGTCAGTTCGAAGAACCAGGAATAAGAATCCGTATAGGTACCATTCACGAACTTCACGAGCCTCTTCACATCTGCTCAAAACGGAAATTTCCAGCATGACCAGCCAACATTTGTCCAATTGCCTGTACAAACACCTTTTGGGGTATATAAGGTCTTGCATCAACCTCCTCGACCTCCTAGAGCAAATTTGCTCAGGAAGCCCCTCCACCTAGAATACCTAGAATGCTCCAGCTGGGGCTAACATCAACACTCCCAAACAAAAACGACAGAACATGCTCCAATGCTCAACCACCCCCCCCTGCATTGGTGGCTCTGGCACGTCTGGGCGTTGGTCTCGGTCTCGAATCAAGAGCCTCTTGAGGAACTCCTCACGGGATGGAATGATCAACTGAACAGCTATCAGGCATCAGATCTATCAAACAAACACAAAAAACAACGTATATTGTGCGCACTAATGCAGGTCGGTCCATCTTATATATATTTTATGTGGTCATGACAGATATAATGTTCCATTGACGCGTCCAACTCTTCAGAACCGTAAGATAAAACAAAAAATATAAACACCTCAAACGTCTGAGCACCTGGTTCTTCAAAGTGACCGAACTTGATAACCTGGTTGGTTCGGTCACGAACAAGCCTCCTGTTTGGGTCACTTAAGAACCT